CAGTTAACTTTTCAAGCAAATTTTGCGAAATCAAGGAAGGCGAAAGACAGATAGCAATCGCCGAAGCAAACGGAAATTTGTATAAATTGTGTCGTCCACATGAAGTTTATGCAATCAAACATTCCACCGAACATATATCAAATTGCATACATCACTGGCATTGAGTCTTTGGTCATCGGGATCCAGATGCAATAAAGGAAATGTATTCAAAAGGCATGGTCAACGAACTGAAGATTTGCCATTGTGGAATTAAAGTCCAATACGAAGTGTGTCTTCAAGCAAAAATGACACGCTTGCCATTTCCAAAGCGATCATCAAGCAAGTCAACGTCTGTACTCGATTTAATTTATTCAGATGTCTGCGGGCCAATGCAGACTACCTCACCGGGCGGCAAACGATACGTGCTCACATTCATTGATATGATTTCTCTAGATATACAGTTATTTATTTTCTTCGAGAAAAATCAGAGGTGGAAGTAAAAATTAAGGAGTATGTAGAAATGGTAAAGAATAAATTTTCTAAGTGGCCAAAAGTTATAAGATCGGATCGAGGAGGAGAGTACACCAGTAAAGGAGTTGCTGAATATTTAAAAAGTCAAGGTATTCAGATACAGTACACAGCGCCATACACACCTCAGCAAAATGGTGTTGCTGAAAGAAAGAACCGTTCCCTTATCGAGATGGCAAGATGTATGCTCTTGGATGCAGATTGGATGCATTTACCCTATACATTCTGGGCGGAGGCAGTAAACACGGCGAATTATCTTCAAAACCGTTTACCTACCAGAGCCATTGAAATAACATCATATCAAAAGTGGAATGGAGAAAAAGCAAAGGTAAAACATATTCAGATATTCGGCTTAAAATGTTTTGTTCATGTTCCAGAGCAAAGGCGACAAAAGTTGGACGATGTAGCAAAACCGATGATTTTCATTGGTTACGATGAAAACTCTAAAGCATACCGATGCTATGATCCGATTCAAAGAAAAATAATTGTAAGCCGTGATGTTCGTTTTACAAATTCGAGAATGAGCGACCAAGGAAGTGAAGTAGAAGTGGATTCATCAGTAATTTCGAGTCAAAGAAAGGAACTTGGTACTACGGATAAAACGGACAATGATGAAGTTGAAGATGGTTTGGACCAATCATCTGAGTCATCGGTCACTCAAGAAAGTAATTCAGATGCGGAGTTTTAATCATTCATTATTAATAGTACGCATGACAGTAGCGAAGATGAAAAAGGTCAAGGCGAAAGTAATGCAGCTCAAGCAAATGAAGAGGATCATCTTCAGGAGGAGGCACCGCGATCTACAAGAAGAATTTCAAAGCGATCAACTAAGGGTATACCACCACAACGGCTAATGCAAGATACGGTGAAAGCTATAACTAATGAAATAAGTGATCCTAAAACATTATCTGAGGCTTTATCGAGCAAAAACAAAGCACGGTGGATTCAAGCGATAGAAGAAGAGATGGATTCACTAAAGAAGAACGAAACATGGAAACTATGTGAATTGCCAGAAGGTCGTACAGCAATCGGATGCAAGTGGATCTACAAGGTAAAAACAGATGCTAAAGGAAATACAATTTGTTTCAAGGCACGATTGGTTGCACAAGGGTTTTCCCAAAAATATGGCACTGATTACGACCAGGTCTTTGCTCCAGTTGCACGGCAAGCAACATTTAGAACATTATTAGCAGTTGCTTCGAAGAAAGGGTACACTGTACGACACCTCGACTTCAAGACAGCATTTTTAAATGGAAAACTGAAAGAAAAGATATACATGAGTCAGCCACCAGGATTCGTGAATAATGGAAATGAAAAATTAGTTTGTTTGTTGCTGAGAAGTTTGTACGGGCTGAAACAAGCAGCAAGATCTTGGTATGATGAACTCAAGAAGACTTTAACTAGAGCTAATTTTACACAAAGTAACGTTGATCCATATCTTTATGTCAAGAAGGATGAGAATGATGAATGGTGTTTTCTTATTGTTCACGTTGACGACATAATTATTGCAGCAAGATCAAACAAGACTATAGACAGAATAAAAACTGATATTAGTTTGTTTTTTGAAATTCAGGATCTAGGTGAAGCAAAACATTATCTTGGTATTGAAATTGCCAAAGATGAATACGGAATATATCATCTATGTCAATCTAATTACATTCGAAGGGTAATAGCTGAATTTGGTCTTCAAGATGCAAAAGTCTCAAGCGTCCCAATGAACGTTGGATATCTAAAGGCGAGTCAAACTTCGAACAGAGATCTATTACTATCGAATAAAGATTACCAGAAACTTGTTGGATGTTTACTGTACATTTCAGTAAACACACGACCAGACATTTCAGCAAGTATATCCATTTTAGCACAAAAGGTCAGTCAACCGCACCAAGAAGATTGGAATGAATTGAAGAGAGTGCTGAAATACTTAAAAGGAACAATGCACATGAAATTGGTACTGGGAAATAGCAATGATACAAATGAATTATTGTACGGATACTTGGATGCAAACTGGGCAGAGAACAGAGCAGATAGAAAGTCTAACAGTGGCTATGTTTTCTTCGTCAACGGTGGTCTAGTCAGCTGGGGATGCCGCAAACAAAGTGTGGTTGCGCTATCAACTATGGAGGCGGAGTTTATTGCACTGTCGGAGGCGTGTAGAGAAGCATCTTGGTTGAGGCGACTGCTGAAGGACATGCACCAGGTTGTAGAGGGTCCATCAAGGATATATGAAGACAATCAGAGTTGTCTTAAATTTATTGAGACTGAGAGGCTATCAAATCTGAGTAAACACATTGATACAAAGGTGGAGTTCGTCAAGGACTATGTGGATCAAGAAATCATATTCTGCGAGTACTGTCCAACCGAGGAGATGATTGCAGACATGATGACGAAGCCTTTGAGCATTCGGAGATTGGAAAAACTAAGAGCGATGGTCAATTTAACTCAATAAAATGAGGAGGAGTGTTACAGATTTAGCTTGACATTTTATTGGTCGGTTAAAATTGATTCTGATTGTTAGACTATTTGGTTCTTTTTTAGTCACTAGATGACATTAGAAGTAAATTCATGCTTATGCGTCTTTTCTTTTTCACTGTTTCTTTGTCATCCATGCCATCCATGACGGTTACTGATATAATAAAGACTAACGACACAATTAAGTATTACAATAATCGAGTGTACTTTATTTCTTGCGCACCTGAACGCCTGTATAAAGTTATAGTTTTATCACTTATATGATAACTTATTTGTATTTGTTAACGATCAACCAAACAAAACCATCTGATTTTTACCAAACAATATTATAACGTATTATTACTACTAAAAATCGTCAACTCACTGCGAATCAATATTAGCCGTGGCCTCGTCGAGAACGAGTAAACGATTGTTCCTTAGAATGGCCCTGGCCAGACATATGAGCTGCCTCTGGCCGACGCTGAAGTTGTGACCGCCATAAAAGATTTTCTGATCCAATGCGACATCATTCAGCTCGACCTGCCGCAGTACCTCCCACAGCTTCACGTCATCGTACTGACTGAACGGGTCCAGATTGTAGCGTAGACTCTCGGAGAAGAGCACCGGTTCCTGCGGTATGATGGAGATCTTGCAGCGCAGCTCGCTCAGACCTACCGTGCTCGTATCCCGACCGCCAATTTTAATCTCACCCTCCAGACCTTCGTTGAATAGGCGGAAGAGCGCTGAGATCAAGGAGGACTTGCCGGCACCAGTTCGTCCCACCACCCCAATTTTCCAGCCAGGCTCGATGGATACGTTTAGATTCTGCGAAGTGCGACGGCGCAGCGTGGTAAAACATAAAATGTCCGCAAGAATAAACCGGGAGCTTTCTTACTTTCAAGACCGGTGGATCATTACTGTGATACTTCATGGTGACGTCCTTCAAGATCAATTGTCCTTGGGACGGCCATGTAGAAGGCGATGGATTGTCGGAAATAATAGGTTCCTCCTGAGGAAGATTCGTGTATTGAAGAATTCTTTCCACGGAGGTCATTAACGACACCATTTTGGCGGACTGTTTTATGCCGTAATGCATCCAACCGATTAGCAGCAACAACTGCGACATTGCCAGACCTACTAAGCTGTCGACTACATTGCCTGCAGTATGAAGATTAACGAAAGAACTTGCAGTAGCTCGAGGATTCTTCGAGATTATCCAAATACATATTTTTTTCGGAAAAAAAAAAAAAAAAAAAAATCCAAATACATATTCCAAAATACTATTCACTCGTAAAAATATGAACCAATCATATTGAAGCTTAAGTATATACCGAAAGTTTATTTGATTCTATTAATTTGTTTCTGCATCTTCTCGATATATGCTTCGAAATTAAAAAAAGATATTTAATCCTCAATAACTAAGAATCTTTCATTTAATTATAATTTACCATTCTCATTTATCAATACTAAAGAGACGCAAACCAAGGCGAGGAACAGGCACAAAATTAGATCCGTAAAGACACCGACTGCTGACGCGCATGTTATGAAGAGGTACCACGTGCCACTATAACGATCTTGCAACATGTCGAACTGTCTTCGCATCATCTTCTCGATTCCGGCGCCACTGCTTCTGATCGTCGGCAGGCCATTCAACGTAGCGTTCACGTGTGAAAAAAAAAATTTTTTCCGAAAAAAAAAAAAAAAAAAAGGAAAACTCCTGGAACTCCACAGATCCTAGATTTTTAGTGAGCGCTTAAATTAAATAAGCTTTTAAGATCCAAGATCGATGACGAAAAGTCAAACGCAATCTGGGAGTCAAGGAGATATGCTGCGCGTATTTTCTCTGGCCTTTTTCTAATAAAAGTTCTATAATACTTACTTTCGTCTTCGAGACGTTCTGAGCGATCCTCAGATAGAATTTCGTCATGAAGTAAAATAAGGCGCACAGTACTGCTACAGGAATCAGCATCCATTGCATAATTATTGTCGGGATACCAACATCGCGACCACCAGCCATCGACATCGTAGGCGCCGCCTTCTGGCGGATGCCAACCGACGCCGCCCACTGCGCCGTTGACAGTGTAT